TTTTTTTTTTTTTTTTTTTTTTTTTTTGCTTTACAAGAAGGATGGAAAGGATTAAGTAAGAGGGACTCTGTTGCTTCTGCGAGCTGGGGCAGCTGTAATATTTTCCATCCCCTGCAGATTAGCTTAACAGACACACTTCTCTGCACTTTCATACGGCTTTCTTGGAAACAAGTTTGCAAAAGTCGGAAAACTTAAGGTCATTTAGTTTGACTCTAGAATATGTATGGCGTCACCGGGTTGGAGGAAAATAAATACGGCACCTTGCAAAAGTAAACGGAAAAAGTTCAAGTAAACCACTTTTTTCAAATTTTTCCAATTAGAACAACAAACTTCTATGTTTTCATTTAGCTTTTCTGTGATAAGACCACCATAAAGCAGTGGAAAGAAAAGGTTATTTGGTGTGGCTTTTTTTTTTTTTTTTTTTTTTTTTTTAAAAAAAAATTTGAAAAGTGTGGAATATATTTTTATTTAAGCCCCTGTACTCTAACACCTGGGGAATAATCCAGTTCTACCAACACTAGTGAACAAGGCATTGTGAAGAGAAAGGAATGGGAAATTTTAGGTCTTTAAATGAAACATTACATGCGTTCCTGCCCTGAACAAATCATCCCCTTGGTGAAGCGTGAGGGTGGCAGCATCACGCTGGAAGGTGGCACTAAATACAGACCAATCCAGGAAGAAAACTCAACTATGAATCTGAGGCAAGACTAAGAAAAAAAACAGACAAACTGAGCTGAAGCTTTCTCATAAAGGCAAACAAGCTTTACACGTGCAAAGGAGATATACATGTCTTTTTGTTTTGCTTTTTGTTTTAAATGTATTTTTGCCTGTTTATTCTTTTATTACACTATGTTAAATAAAGTCAAACCAAAAAAAAGAAAAAATACATACCCTGAAAAACTTGCAGCAAAAGGTAGTTCTAAAGAGATTGGCTGAATACAAAAGCATGTGACTCTTTATAGATTTTCTATGTAAAATCATTTGAAAATTATACGTAATTTTCTAGTTAGTTCATAATTATGTACTACTTCGAGTTGGTCTGTCAAACAACTTGAAGTTTGCAGATATGTTACAAAATATGAGAAGGTTCAAGGATCCATCTTCAGTTTTTTCAAACACAGTGAGCTTTAACAATAATCAGTGTAAACAAGGAGACGATAATATGTCTATAAAGGAATTTCTTTCAAAGTCAAGCTTAAATTAACTGTTGGAGTCACAGAGAACCCAAATTTGCAGCTGTTTATTGCTCTCCATTTCCATTCTAAATTAATTTTCTGATTCTCTAAACAAATTAATATTTAATTTATGACCTGTCAGAAGTAATACACTGACAAACGTCACATTTCAAAGTGATGAAATTATGATGTACATTTTCAGCTGAAAGGCTCAAAATTGTTTTATAAATTATGATTGAAAAATTACTCTACTAATTGATCATACTGGTGTCAGCCAATTTGAGCAGCTCCAAACAGATAGCAATATTAATCTTCATTTGCCACCTGCTACAAATATCTGGGCATCCACTTTGTTCTTGTTGTTTTAAATAAGAATCTTTGATCCCTCCAGTATCCACAGCGATCCCATAAGCTGGAAACAAAGCCTCTTTACTGCCATTGATAGTGCAAATCTGCTCCTGCAGTACCAACAGAGACTGCCTTTGAGGGGGGTGAAAAGGGGAGAGGGTACCTTTCCCACTCTCATTTCCGGACTGTCCGGCCAGGCAGTTCGATACGTTTTAGAGCCCGAATACGATTGATCCGACCCCCACCACCACCCAAAACACACACACACACACACACATAAAATCCTCCAATCACGTGTGTAAGTGCATTACAGCAGGCACTGCCTGTCAGCACTCACTAGACAGGACGGCGATCTGAAGGAAGCCATTTAGTTTTCCCAAACAGGAGCAAACAGGCCACTTCACCTCCATTACTGGCTCTTTCAGTGGTGGAGAAATTGCTGTCTGTCTTCCAGTGGAGTACTTCAGCCTACATAATCCACTCTAATGATATCCCGCACATCCCTCTGCCCTTTGGTGATGCTCTATTAAAAACAAGATACGGCCATTTTTGGTGCACTGAGGCCAAGCCGGCTCTATTGTCATTTACTTTTTTATTGCTTAGTATAAAGCAGATAAAGGTTAGAGACATACTTTGATGCATAAACAAGTATAATCTTTATATTATGTGTTAGCCTCTAAATGTGTCTATAAAAGGACATGCAGCACTTTTCAACGTTAGTTTTGAAAAAACGTTTTACAAAATATTTATAAAACAATCTGAAGGGAATCAGAAACCGGTACTGGCCGAGGAAAATGCTGATCTGTGCATCTCTGGTTCATACCGCTAACCCTACATTGGCCACATAATTAAAGGCTCGGTTTGTTTACATTGTCCACCCTGTGGTGTGTTTTAAGGATATTTATCAACCAGATGATTTTTGAAAAGTTCTAACAGGATGTCTGGGAAGCAGCCTGATGGAGACATGCGTTACATTGTTACAACTCCTGCTTCGTATTAAAAGTCAACTCAAGGCATGTGTAGCTGTGAAACGTGGTGGTATTTCCCTCCCAGCTGGTAATGGAAGCAGCAGAGTGCATGCAGGGCCTTCTCCTGCAGCTCCAACAACAACCATCACTTGGATAAACATGTTGAATAAAAACAGCCTTACTGTTCTTAAAATATGAATCGACAATTGTCCTCACCTGTCCAATCTCGCCGATCCCTCCTGAGCCGTCGATTCTGGGGCGCTTGCACTCAGCCCCGGTGGAGTCCATCAGAGCGGCCGCCGTCTGTCCATCGGGCTCCGGGTCTCCGCGCTTCATGCCCCGCACGGCTCCTGGAGCGCCGGACGGGTTGGCGTGAACCCCGGCCATGGTGTCCAGCTCCCTGTCCCGGTCTATGAGAGCCCGGGACACCGGCAGCATGATGGATGCAACGTCGGTCGACATTAACATTTAAAAAAATCTTCTTTTGTTCCTTTTTTCCCGAAATAAACCGAGGCTAAGACCGCCTACTTAATTTTCTGCACCTCCGTGCCTTGAGCCTGACAGTGGAGGATAATAAACGTCTTAATAGGACAAGTTGTTTTTTTGTTTTTTTTAAGTTGGGCCTTTCTATAACCCCCCTAAAGAGTTGATGTCTGTAAAAAAAAAATTAGCAAATATCTAATAGCCTGCTTTGTTTTTACTCTCAGCAAATATGAAAATGTCCCTGTAAAATAAAAGCAGCTTTAATTTGAAGCTAAGCAGGTAGCCCCTCTGCTGTCCGTGTATTTATTTACTGCGGGGCTGCCTTAGAGGCCTGCCTTATTTCAGACCATAACAAAACCAATTAAACACACCAACTGACTGCTGAGCTCAGTTTCCGTTTGCCCCGTTTTTTAAGCCTCCTCCTCCTCCTCTCCTCTTACCGGAGCCGAGTGTTTAGAGAGCGGAACACCGACAACAGCCTACCGCAACCTCAAGACGAAGAGCCCCTCAACATGTCTTCCCCGTCGCCTTTTTCCTCCCTATCAGCCACAGAGAAGTGGTTCACTGAAAGTCAGCCCTCCTCATGAGCTCTTGTCCATGTTAGTCCGCAAGAGGGGGGGGGGGGAAAGCTTTCTCTGGCTTAAAGTGGGGGAAAAAAACCAACCAAAAGGACGGACGCACAAACGGAGGGACGGATAAACGGACGGAGGGGCTGCGGTGTTTCCTTCTCCCTCTCTTGGTTATTATTTTCTTCCCTCTCCCCGTTTTTTTTTTTTTTTTTTCCCGGCGGTGTGTTCCTGTAGCGTGTGTGTTACAGAAAGGAAACTGTCCACCCTCCCTCCTCCTCCCACTCTCCTGCTGTATTCATTCCCCTCCTCCTATCTTCCGCTCTGCCTTTGAACGCTGAGCCAGGCAGCCATGCAGCCCGCAAAATACACGCAGTGTGCCGCAGTGCTTCCATACATTTTACTGAGGGGAGGTGTGTTTATGGGGAGGAGGGAAAGCCCTGCTTTAGGAGCCTCTCTGCTCCCCACGGTCCAGATTCTTTAAATCAAATTATCCTCCTTACATTTCTACTTGTGTTGTTCGGGTTTTCCAGCTGTTTCCATGCAGACACCTCACATGACTAAATAATAACGGGGTGGGCTTCTCTCCGAGATTTCATGCCCAACTCATTACACAACCATTACCCAGGCCAGGGTCCTCACACAAGCCCAGCTGTGAGTCATGCAGCTCACAGAACCTCATGTTCCTCTGGCAATTTTATTGCTTGGATGACACCCAGTGGTCAAAGGCTACCAAGGGAGGAACACATTAAAAAAAGGTACAGAGAAGGCTTTATTGACTCCTAAATAAACTGGTCATAAACATTTAAAGGACATGCTTGTTCTTATACTCAGAAGGAAGAAGTAGTTAAGTCTAAATGCAAACCCTAAACTTTCCAGACTTCTGTCCTTTCCTAAATTTACCCAAATGCAAACTATTTGGTAATTTGGTGACCTAGTTTCAGTCAAGCGTCTTAATGAGTCACATTAAACTGTGAACCACAAATTGAGTGTATATGAGGGAAAACAATGACATCCCTTTCACCAGATACTGGGCTCAAAAGTCCTCTCAAATCTCCAGCGCCTTGCATAAATATTAACACCCCTTTGACTTTTTCATATTTGGGTTTTGAGATTTCATGCGACAGACCAATGCAGAACACGGTGAAGCGGATGGAAAATGGTTTTCAACAGTTTTTACCATCAAAAATGTGAAAATTGTGGTGTGCACTTTGTAGCACCATCTTTCACTGACAGCGAAAGAGCATCTGTGAAACTAAATTTTCAGGTTTTGCCACATATCCGTCATTTAATTTGGACTTTCTGGTTATTCATTACTTTGATCTAATCCACTCCCCTGTCTGGCTGTATCCTTAGGGTCATATTCCTGCTGGTGAATCTCCACCCCAGCCTCAAGACTTTTAAGCTTCCAATTGTTTTTCTCCCATGACTGTCCTGTATTTAGGTCCACTTATCTTCCATCAACTCTAACTAAGTTCCCTGTCCTTTCTGCAGACAATCCCCACAGCGTAATGCTGCTACTGCCACTATGGCAGCTTCCAGGTGACGTTGCACTACTTTGTTTTAGGCTATCGCATACAAAATACATTGAACTTTGTGGTTGCAACATGCCAAAATGTGCAGAGCATCACAAAGGATTGTACTCTTACCATTCCATTTCACTCTACACCAAACTTGCAATATAAGTCAGAGAGTCCTGTCATCTTCAGAAAGAGTCTACTGACTCTGGAGTCGTCAGGTGTATCAGAGATGGTCAAGAAGCTGAAGACAGAGTTGGTGGACCACTTTGGCATGGCGTGGCAACAATCATATCTTGCATGTGAACAAAACAAGATTCTAGATTTCATAAGAAAAAGGGTCAGGTCAAACACTTTCTATAGGGAGGATCTGGAGGTGGTGGAGGCAGAAAAATACTTCAGTGTTAACATGCAGACTAAAGGATGAAGTCATCTACAAAAAGGGAGAGAGCAAAGTTTACTTTGTGGTTTCAGGGTTTGCAGCAATATGCCATGTATCTTTTTTTAAAATCTGCTATGGAGAATACAATCTCGTCTGTCAATCTGTTGCGGTGGCAGCATCAGAGCCAGGGACTTTAAAAAGTTCAAACAAACAGATAAAGAAAGCTGGTCCTGTTCTGGGAGATCTGGAGATGATGGTGAAAAGAAGGTTTCTCAGAGAATGAAGATCATGGACAACCCTGAGCATCCTCTTCTCGACTAACGGCAAGACAGAGGCTTCTTCGGAATACAAAACTCATATTTGAAGAAACTCTAATAAGAGTCCTCTTAGGATGGTAGTGTTTTTTTTTATTAAATTTAAATGCATTTTCTGAGTTTTAGTAGCACAGTAATTCAAACGTTTCCCTTCATATTCAGACATTAAATCACCCAGTTATATTTTTAGCAAAAGGAATGTGCCAGTGTTTGCAGATGGGATTATAAATAAGTTTTCTTTGCAATGTTTGGAGTAACCAAACATGGCCCAGTGGTATGCATTTACATTAGTGGTTAAGAAAAAAAAACAGTTCTGTGGTCGAATAAATTCAGAGATTGGTAGGCTTAGTAGTGGGTGATAAGAGGATGTACTACATTTGCTTATTGGCTTCTAAATAAGAGAAATTTTATATTATTTACCTTGCTTTCAGCCATGAAATCTAGGTAATTTAATACACTGCTTTGCAAATATTTTTCCCATTGGCAGATGGTTTTAGGTGTCTAACCTCTTCACAACCCCAGATTAAATTGCCCCCTCTCAGCATGTGCAATTTAAATAAACTTACATCAATTGAAACAAGCTGCGTTTTTATGGGCTACGGTATAGAAGCCCATTTGACCAAAATGACAAAAATATGGAAAATCACCCAGTTAGTAGAAGATGGCTGATTTTTAAACTCATAAGGACTAAAACATATACACCATCTTCGTATGAGATATTTTATTTTTTTCTGGGTTTGCCTACTCATAGTATTTGAACTGGTATTAATATTTTTAATCACAAATCTCAATGTATTTTTCTGGGATTATATAAAAACACAAAATGGCATAATTGAAGCAAAAGGTAAAAAAAAGATGCATGGGTTTTAAATCTTTAAAAAAAATAAATACATATGTGGTGTGTATATTTGCATTTGGCCTACAAAAATATTTCATGGCCATCTCCATGATGAAACATAGTAGTTTGCTGTGGAGATACTAGAGATAACCAACTCTACAAGGTATTAACCAAATGAGGCCAAATAGGAAAAAAATGCACAATTTCCTTTTATCTTGCAATTAGGCATTGAAAGTGAAATATGTTGCAACATTAAAGCACAAAACTGTACATTGAAGTTTTGCGATGGTGACCTGACAATTTGTACAAGATGTTATACATGCATTGATAATCAGCAAAAGCAAATTGCTGGTAGTTTTCAGTGAAATTGATTTTTACACTTTGAAAACTTTTAATTTGTCAAAATTTGCATTTGAAGTCTCAACAAAAATGTACTATGTTATTCATGATACTGGACAAACCCCATTACATTTGACATAATTTATGCAGTCAAACAACATAGTTTTTATGTACAAAGCTGAATTCAAAGAACAGCCGTTTAAACAAAGTTATGTGAATTTGACTGGCATTCATTAGACCAAAATTAGCTTGCGTAAGCCATGCAAATACCTGCATGCAGCTTGTGGGATATTTTCAATGTACTGGGTTTGCAGATGGTGAAGAGTTGTTAAGCAGGTTTATGCATTTGACGGTGAAATGAAATTTGAACAGACATACAACAAAAAATCTAATTTTTGACACTACTGAATGTAGGGACAAAGACATTTTACATAGGTGCAGCTACAAGGATTTGTGTGAATTAAAGTTTGTCCAAACAAGCAAAGAGTGTTAATTCATTAATATCAAGGACTCGTCTTTACAGGCAGAAGTTTTAACTCCTTCATGTATGAATTATGATCCTTTGTGTCAGGATTTTTTTTCCTGTTTTAATTTTCTCAAGGCAAAAAAAAAAAAGGATTGTTTTTTTTAAGGTAATCAATTGTAATTTTCTCCAAATACAAAGTTATTTGAAAAATACATCAGTAGTATTGTTCTTTAGGGGTTATCTGATGTCATTTTTTTTTTTTTTTTTACCTGCAAGAGTCGTCTACAGGAGGAGGAACCGGGTTGGCTAGCATGCTTTTTTGTCTGTTGGCCATATTGGATTTAACAAAAATAATTTCTTGCATTTGCAGCTGATGGCCAGTAGTTGATAGTGTATTTTATGATGCATTAGTGTCCACTTCAGTGGTCTGTGTGCATTTATAACATAAAAATCCACAAGAAAATGGCTTTTAGATAGCCGTCCACTGTAGTGACCACTATGCATTAAAGGGTTAATGTAGAAAAAGTACACGTGGTCGAGGTTTAAAGGCATAATCTCATCTTTGTCATAATTGCACACTTAGATTTGTGATCCATCTTCAGCACAAATACAAAGTACATGAATTGCTCTCAATTTGAGATATTGGCCTTTTTATTTTGTTGGCAAACAGAATGACGGAGACAAAACCTCAACAAAAAAAGTTGTTTATTTTGACTTTGTTCAGTTGAAAACACTTCATATACATTTCTATGATGCATTTATTGGTGTAAATGCAAACATTAATCAGCAGAATTTGCAAAAAGTACCCCTTGATTATAATCAAATATGAGGGATGTTTTAAAAACAGCATCTCAAAAAGCTTGCATGTTATGCCTTTCTGAAGAAAAGGTTTTCTTGCTATAGTTTTAACCTAAACTTTTACTGCTCATCCCCATATCAAATAAAATAGTTGCAGGATTAAAGGAAAACACAGCCCCGCCTTTAAAGTTTTTCAAGAGCTTTTATTGGAGGTTATTTGTATCATATCTGAGGACAAAGAGGAGAGAAGACAGTCAGAACGCAGACATATACCATCATTTTCTAGGTGTTATGTAGGTTTCGACTAACAAAAAAAAATATTTACTCAGTCACCATTCTCATTTAAATAGGTTAAATTAAATTTTAGTTTTCTCAAACTTTCTGAACATTTTCAGTCTGATTGCAATAAAGCTGCATGTTCGTATACCTTCCACTGGAACTCAAGGATGCTGTGAATTAAATCCATTTTTCCATTGTCACTGACCAAAACATCCCTCAACACAAGGACCATCTCGAGGAGAACAGATCTCAGTTGAACACATAAAGTAGATCTGAAAGGGAGCCAAATGAAGATCAGGAATGAATAAATGAAGTATTGCAGACAAAAAAAACTCATTTGAATTTTAATCTCGTTAAGAAATGGTTACGTCCAGATAATTTGGATTTATAAATAAACTAAGTCAAAACAACTGTTCATAAACCACATTGAGGCTTATATTTACAGTGACCGTCAATGCTCAGCCTTACCTCCTCATCCATATCCTGGAACTCCCCATCCGGGAGGAACTGAAAGGTGCGAATGGTGAAGCGGCGAGTCTGACTTTGAGGAGACGGCGGCGTTGGGTCTGACAGAACTGTCTCTGGTGGGGCTGGGTCCAGAGGGTTAGGGCATCTGCAGTGATGGCATGAGCATTTTTAATTATTTTAGAAGCTACCTCCTCAGATGAGGTTGGATTTAGTCAATGCTGGTTGTTTTTACAGTGTAGATGTTCTGGCATACCCATTGTAAAGCAACACCCACGCTGCATTTCCAGAGCGGGGGTAGGCCACACAGAAGTGCACCAGCAGCACCAAACTGGGATCTGGGGAGCTGAGGAGGCGCACTTCAAGGTGGAGAGGTTTCCCCAGCAACATGTGCAGAGGCTGGTGATACTGTGGGTAGTAACTGGTGTACTGGGCATCTAATAATAGATGGTAGCATAGGAGGGAAATAGTCAGTTTAACATTTTTTTTTTCTTTTGGTTCATCTTCTTCAACCAGCATGCATCTACATTTTTCATGATGCAGTCATTCTTTTGTAATCTTTAATAGAGGTAATGAATCGGTGTAGAATATTGTAGACCGGTTTGATTCACCCATACATTGTTTTTTGTTTGCCAATTCTAAGCTAGTCATTATGTAATTTTTTTTAAAAGTCCTTTTTGTTTACACAAACTACTTCAGTAATTTTGTTCAGTGTAGAATTTTCCAGCTTATGTTTGACTAATAATTTAGATTTTGAACCACAGATGATAAAATGCAGCTGAGAATCACTGCCAAGTGTAAAACAGCCCTTTAGTTCAGCATTGACTACAACTGGGACTCCAAGTCTGGTCCTTGAGAGCTATAACCATATTTCACCAGACAATATCATATTCAAAGCAACCAGATGGCACTACGAAGACTGACTGTACTTAAACATGAAATACTGTCCTTTTTAATATCACCCGACTGATCCACCTCTGATCTCAAACATTAACAGAACCTTTTAGTTTTGAAAGAAAGACCATTTACCTTTGGCTATCCTGAGCTGGACTCCAAACACCCCCTGAGTATGGACATCAGGACCAAGGGTGGGAGTTTTAACGACGTAGCTCACACCGAGAACTGTTCCTGGCACGTATCTGCACTCCACCAATAACCTGAAAATAATAGACGAGACTCAAGTCATGGCAAAAACCGTTTAAATTCAATATGTATTGCTTTTGCAATTTTACTTTTGCAACCAAATGTATTGCAATCAAAATCACAATGAGTTGCGGTCATGTTGGTTGAGAAAACTGAAGATTACTTGCAGTCGGACAGCAAGTGTAAAGTACCAGCGCTGAGAGATCAGAACGCAGAAACAGCTGCTAAGGCTTTCTTGTGGCTTTATTGCTCCCCAAGCATTCACTGGAAGCGATTCAGGAGCAGAGCATCTGTTGTACAGCGTTTCTAACAAAGTTCAGATTTGTTTTGCCAGCAAAGCTAATCACACACACAAAACTGATGCATGTTTGAAGTCAACTGCAAAAACCACACCAGAGGCCTTAATGTTTCTGAATGTTAATTTCAAAGACATGCATCTCATAGAACTGATGCCAAATTGCATTTCATTTTTATGTTGGAATAGGATTGATCTTTGTAATGACTTCTGGTTAGTATGACATTTTTACTACTAAAGCATCTCAAATTAAGAATTAAGTTGGTTTTATTTGTTTGCATGTATTTGCTCTATTTTGCTTCAAAATTTAAACTCCTGTAGATTTATTACACAGTAAAAGAATTTGTGTCTTATTTTTGATTGACTGCAGCTATAACCAAAAATCCAGTTGGTCAGTGTAACTGCAATATCTAATTTACTGACATATGCAATTTGTATTGTACTAGAAAATATGTCACCTTGCACGTACACCTCCATGTACATTACAGTCACCGAATACTTGCCGAGATTATTAGCCGAGCTAAAATCCCTTTGACGTCTCTGGTTCACGAATGACAACACAACTGCGACAGTTTTCACCCACGTCCCCGATACATCCGTGTGATGGCTCTTAAAGCTCCACCTCCACCAACCTTGTGAAGCTTCTCAGAACTCCTGAATGGACTTTGCTTCACAATCCTCTGAAGGGTGCAGTCATCTTGTGCACATTCCCCGTGTAACACATTTTCTTAAACCTAAACCTTCCAATAATATGCTTGCATACACAGCAAGCGTTAATGACAGTCTGCTGATTAGCTGTTGAGCAGCAAACTTGATTGTTTAGGGAATAACATCAAATTTTGAATTAAACATAATTTTAGTTATTCTTATGTAATATTCAAGGTTACGAGAAACTACATTTTGTAATTTCATTAGCTGAAAACCAAAAATCATCAAAACAGAGATGCAAGTTTTAACATGTGTCCAGTGAAGTTGTATTGTTCAGTGTCATGACTACTTCTCCTTCAACTGAACCAAAAATAAAGTTAAGATATTTTTTGGAACTTATATAAACACACTTTTAAATAAATGACAACTACAGTCAAAAAAAAAAAAAAAAAAAAAAAAAAAAAAAAACAGTAAAATAGGGGAGAAAAATTTAAAACCCACAAATTATGTGCAGGTTGAAGACGTAATTTGATCTTTCAGAGGAACGATGCAAATAAAGTGCATGAGGTTATTCAGATTGAAGTTTAGCAGTGCTTCACCAAGACTACTACAGGTAGGATATAAAGGGTTAGCTGACCTGACAGGTGAATCTCTTGTGATGGTGCCATAGTTAAGGCTGACAGTTTGTATTGTGTTCGTAATCTCCACCATGTAGACGACGGTCTTCCCCACCACCTGTCAGGACAGAAGGAAAAACATTACAAAAAACAAATGCTTAATCCATTCTGTCCATTTGGATGAATCAATCCTTAATCCATTGATGTGATCCCAAAAGGGTCAGCCTTCATGTTTGTTTAGGTTGATCTCCTGCATTTTAAAACAGTTGGGAGTCCGTTTTAAAGAAAATGTAGCCTTTCCAGGTTCTCATTTCTTTAAGCACTAGAACCTCCCAACCTGAATCCATATTTTCCAGCTCCTGGCCAAAACTGCCCATAAAAAATCCACAACTGAAAAACTGCAAACTCTACACAAACCTTTGTTTGATTAAGCACCTTTTTATGGGTAAACAGTCTTGAAAGAGCTAGAAAAGTAATCCGTAGTGGGTCCATGTCCTCCTGGTGGTTGCATTAATGTCCTGGAACATTGAGCACCAGCAACAGCACAGACAGCAGTCTCCCAAATAATCATCATTAAGCCATCAAGGGTATTTCAAAATGGTAAAGAAAACGCCCACTAACTGCAAATACAAATATGTTTGGCTGATCAAACCGTCAAATCAGAATTTATGCTGCTACTCAGTTTAAAGCTGAAGAAATTCAGACAGGGAAGCCCCCAAAGTAGAAAACACTGCAGACAAGAATTTCTGAAAGCTCACCACCATCTCATTTCGAGCTAAAATCCATTCAGCTCAGGAGAACAAAACCTGTCTCCTTCCTGACTCCTGTCATTGTGGGACACTTCCATGGTGCTTATGCTTGCATACAACTCAACGGACCAACATAGAAACTTTCAGGAATCTGGGAATTGAACCAAAGGATGAACCAGACTTGGCTGACATCTATTTTTCCATGCAGCTAAACAAGGAAGCAGTGTGTTTGAGATGTTCCCTTATAAACACACCGACATCTGAGCATTCTCAAATGTTCAAAAGGCTTATGCATAAGCCTTTTGCCTGTTGCTTATGTTGTCTGCATTTAATTGACAATATAAGCAACATTTTCAATTCAAAAACTCTTTTTGCTGCTGAATTATTGAATAAATAAGAAAATGAGCTCAGCAACAAAGATGTTAATTTTTAATCTGCTAAATAGGTTATTCATTCATTGATGCCAAGTGTTATACAGGTATTTCAAGAACACGTGATCATTCATGTAACTCGTTTTTTTTTTTTTCCCCTTTAGTAATCTGAATGGCAACATGAGCGTTTGGGATATCTGCGGTTACTGTAACATGTTTTGTATCGAGATGGTATTTTAGGCTTCGATAGTGTCTGTGATAGGCCAACTCCTTTATGCACAACTTGCATACAACACTAGTCTTGTCCAACTTCCCATCAGATTGTTTCACGAGCAAAAATGAAGCCAAAGTGGGCCAAGAAAAGCAGCTGTGTTGTTCATCGCTGTCTGTGGTTATAATTTGTGCAACAGATTTTCAGGTGTACAATCAACAGAAATTTTTGACTTGAATAAAAGCAATTAATTGTGTTAAAAATGTTTAAATCTTAAATCTACGCAATTAGTCAAATTTGAAATGAGTGCTTTAAATCACATCCTTATGAAGCGTGCACAAACAACAACAAAAAATCTCAATCTCTTATTTGCAAATACAAATAATTTTGGTAGTCCCAACCCACATTACAGCTAGGTTCTGTTCTGCTGGATTTAATGTTGAGAAAAAAAAAGAAACTGCTGCAAGCCTTTTTACACATAAGGTCTGTTTCAGCTGTAAATAAAATATTCACAAACCAAATTAGTTAAAATGTCTTTGGCTTAGACTTGAGAATCTGAACATAATGGCGTTTATTTCCAACCCATTCTTCGATATTTTGACATGATTTATGAATCTCACCACTCTGCGTGTCCCACAGCCATCCATTGGGATTTTGAACAATGCATACTCAGGGGTCACCCTCTGAGGTCTGCAGGTGGAGTTGCTGGCAGCGGCCAGCAGCGCAGTAGAAAGAGGGGGGTCCGTGAGGGAGGCGGGCACAGAGAAGATCATGTGGCGGTCAATAGTGCACTCTGGAGGGATGAACAAAGACACACAAACAGATACACATGCACAGTTACAAAAAGGTCGCATGAACAAAAGGTCAGAAATCTCAGGAGGCAATTGATACCCAGACCCAAGATTCTTCCAGCCGTTCTGTGTTGCTGCTGGCTTAAATCATGCTGCGCCTGCCCTGAATATGTTTCTTCACACGTACGGCAGCTATAGTACCTTTCTGTACTCTAAAACAGCTCGACTGCACTTAGCTAAGTGGCGTGAAAATGCCAGTAGGGATACAGAACGCAGCTCACCATCCATTGGGTAGTAGCAGGCAGGGGGGTGCTTGTTGAAGCAGCAGCCCATGGAGAGGCACTGTGTCTCGGATATAGAGCTGGATCCGCAGGGGAGGCGGTATTCGCTGTGAAGGTTGCACTCTGAGGGGCAGCACGACAAATGTCAGGAACACAGCTGAAATAACAGACGGGCCTGGACAAACTGAACAGCCTTTTAGAGAGTTAAAATCTACCTACCATGCTCAGACCTTGGGATCACAAGCGGGCAGGAAACCTTTGCCTCCTTTTTTCCCCTCTGCGTTGTGTAGAGGATGCTAATGATGTACATTTTACCCTTTTCAACATAAATACAGTCATACAAAGAGTTAATACGCGCATAAAATAATCACTTGTTCAAAATGTCATGTGCTCAGTGTGAAATCTGAGTCAATACTTGCCTGCACGCTCATATGACAGTGTGAATGTAACTGGAGAAACAAATGGATTTTGCCATCCTTGGCCTCACTTGCATAATATCCACATTCTTTAGGCGCTTCAGCAAGGCTCATCTGGTTCCCATTGGTGTCTTAAATGCATATGTGAAAAACTCACAATAAGACATTTCAGTGTAGACCTTAAAGAGAACAATTAAAGCTCTGCAGAGGGAGGCAGAAATCCCCAGTCACAATAAAAAGCCAAGCTTTACCCCCCGCTCCCATTCACCGCACAGCAGAGCCTCTGAACCCTCTGAACTCATGCAGAAATGATGGTTACCATATGCACCTGGTGTGTACAAAAGCAGACACACACCTTTAAGAACTATTTCTGAAATGGGTCCAGGAGGAAGCACGACCTTCATCTGCTGGAAGGAGCAGAAGACTTCGGTCTTTGTGGCAATGGATGGACCCGACTCATCCTCGGTGGCGCTCGGAGCGGTGGGGAAAGTCCACGGAGTTTCTTCTGGAGGATCAAGGGGGCTTTGATATGGGCACTGTAAATCGAGGGTCCGATTCTGCCAAGTGAAGAAATCCCAATAACTTATGGGTAGAGAAATGGTTGTGGGAGTCTGAGGAGCGAGAGAGAAATTGATACAAAAGAAGTTAGCGCAACCACACAAAATTTATAGATACACGTGTTTTTAAAAACAAGTGAATTTACCTAAACTTGCAAAAAACATTGTATTCTTGACAGCTAAGATGCATGGAGCATGAAAAAAAGATAAGACTTTACAGTCCACAAATGCCTATAATCCGTGATAGATTTATCTGAACATGAATTATTAAGCTAAACTGCTGCTCTGCTTAGATAAACAGAAATTCAGACCTTATAGAGTGGAACTACCCTAGAAAGAAGAAATATAGATTACTAGAGTTTTATCAAACTAAACGCTCAAAATACTGTGCAACCTTGGAACTGATTAAATTTTTTTAATACTTCTCCAGCTTTTTCCTATAATAAATCCTAAATGTTATGGTGCGTGATTCAAAATTCATCAAGATCATGTGCCATTTCATACCTAAAGTGCTGTAGTTATACATAAAAAGTACATTATTGCGAAGAGTCCAAAAGGATCAGAGAGAAGGATGATCTTTACTGACAAGGCAATAAGCAAACTTTATGTAAACATGAACACCAAAATAAACTCAGTAAACACACTAGCAGCACATAGAGGAAGTAAACAGTCGTCTGACCTGTAACTGGCTGTGGCAGGCCGGCAGAGGAGAGTGGAGGATTAAGCCGTGGCCTGCAGTCGCCTGCAACATGTACCCACAGAACGGAGACACGCTGGAGAGCGACTGCCATGACATAAATGGGTCTGAGGAAAGCAGTGATGCGGTTAAAGATTTTTTATATTTAGAATCGATATACTGCTTTAAAACTTATTTCAAATGTAAACTCAGATTCTGCATTTAGGTGTGATGCCTCTAAGAAAAACTAAACAAGGGATCAAAGGTTCTTGGATTCCAATAAGCTATATTGTTGTAACGTGAATAGCTGTAGCATATTGTGTACTTTAAACTTAGTTCTTTGGAGGAACACCAAAATGCATGCAGTTGGATGCATTTTGATGTGAATGTGCCATAGAAGAAAACCTAACTACCAGCCAACAACCGTCCAAGTGAGCCTAATTTTGTAAAGTATAATTCTGAAATGGACAGGCTGTAAAAATCCTGGAAATAGAAACATTAAGATGGGGAAAAAGGGAAGCAAAAAAGAAAGAAGAAACACACTGAGGAGAGAAAAAAAACAGATGGGATAAGGTATAAATTTTGGAAACGCATATTTGCCCATATTTTTTTTGTTGTTGTTGCCCCATTCTTATCCAGAACTATAAAATCACTTAAAATCAAACTGGAGACTTTTTCCAGACTGATTTATTCCTTAAAGTTAAATCAGCTAAAATTATAAAAACATTACATCTTTGATACCTGGAACCCCCTAACACTGGAATACAAAACATATATGACAAGCTGTAAGGAGCCACATTTTCCTCTGAGAAAAACTTTTCTGTTTACACAAATACTGACCTCTAACATGGATGGATTCTGGGTCGGCATAGGGCAGGAAAGCAGCCATACTGTCCTTCAGACACTGGACGCGGGATTCCAGAGGGGTGATCCAGTTCGGGGGAGAAGGAATCTTCGGATAATGGGGTGAAAAGGGATGGAGTTTAGGGTGATACGTTTGGTAGAACATGTGAGGACTGGCTGCCGGTTTCTTAGGCTCCTTTTGGACTGGCAGCAGATATGGAGGCAGCTGAAAGTGAAAAGGAGTTTGGATAGGAGATTGGCTGGAAGGATGCCCAAGACTATCAGGGGTGTCAACAGGTGGAGTAGCAGCAGGATGTAAAGCAGAGTAAGAAAATACTGGATGGTAGTAGGACATGGGTGGATAAAATGAACTGGTTTGATGCTGTGGGGTTAACGGCTGTTTTGGTGGAAAAGAAGGACGAGGTACAGGAGCTTGGGTCACTGGTATTGCCGTGAATACAGGATGATCAGGTTTCTGATGATAGTACTGAGGATAATATGGACCCACTGGAGACTTGGAGTGGTCTTCAGCTGCTGCAATCAATTCCTGGTAATAGAACGGCAGGTAGGGATAGAAGACAGGTGGGTGATGAGGAAATTGAAAAACCTGATGTTCAGAAGGATCCTTCAGATGAAAGTGAGGAGGAAAGTACTGCAGATAGCTCCCTAAAGAATACAATAACTTTTCAGATCCAGGTGGGTTCTGGACGTGCTGTGGCATGGACTCAGGGAAGCGGTCAGTGGTGGCCTGAGGTGGATGAGGGATCCCTAATAGGATATGGGGGACGACTGGAAGTAGTTGGTGGTACTGGAAACCAGAAGAGAGGTGGTGCTGGTAGAGTGGGTTTTGCATCGTCTGCTCCTTAACTGGGGCTCGATGAGGGGGAGGGAGAGTGGTAGTGGGAACAGGGTGGGTTGGAACTGGCAAGTATGGAAACAAAAGGTCACTGGGAAACTGAGGAGGATACTGAGGCAGGGATGGAGAATAGGGAAGCTGAGGGCTGACGGGGCAGGAGAGAACATACTGCAAACCACCCAATATGAGCCGAAGCTGTGGACCATCCTGTGGAGAAAAAACATATTAACCTTATGTCATTCACTGGTGAGAATCCAGGTGCAGTCTTCAACTAAATGAGCAAACTTACATCAGTTGTGATACAAGGAGCACTGTGGGAGATAAGGTAGGTCAACTCCTGGGCCTCGGAGTCAACCAGGAATGCACACCTTTCAGACACAAAAGGATCCTTTGCTCCATCCACTGCCAAACAAATTAAACATTTCTGTTATCAATTGAGTCAAGGTTTGAAAACTGAATTTTGGGTATTTTCATACCACTTATGAGTTTTTGACTAAAACCTCTTGTAATTTCTTGTTCAACTGTAGAAACAAAGTAGTCACTCCTATGTTTGTTAATCAGTTTTGAAATTGTCCATCCAAAGCTGTTGATATTTCTTAGTTAGAAATAGCGCTCCGCCACCTACAGATTTATTCTATTTTTGACTTTTTGTCAGACTAAAATATTTCAAAGAAATTTGATTAAATCATTAAGTACAAAATCCAATTCTTAAAATTTTAAA